GTTAGGTCAGCCGTTTCAGCCCCCAATTTGAATACTCTCGCCAGGCATTTCCCAGCAATGTAATCCCCGACAAATGTTCAATCAACTGCATTCTAATGAGTCAGTGGTGTTTTGCATCACATATATCACGTACCATATTACTAACATATGCTATTATCGCCATTGCGATAGCTAGCTGGATTATTCCCCGTACAAATTCTTGACCTCTGACCCCAGAGGACGGTCGCTTGGTGATATTGCACGTTTGCGACACCAGATGGAGATGGTCGGTTCTGCATCGTTGGTAGATGTTGCTCCAAAATCAGGCTGTTGTGGACTGTCGTATGTCTTGTACTTGGTCAAATTCACGTTCATTTGATCAATGAAATAACTTACCATTACAGTTTGTACTCGTCCCCCTGTCTGCATGTTGCAATACTTGCTTAAGGGCACCATCATTTTGTCGAAAATCCGAATAGTTCCTGTGTCACTACCTCCAACAACAAGGGTAGCCCAGTCCCCAAAAACAACTGTGTTGTGGAATGTCTTCACTGGATTGGTATTGTAGGTACAGATGCAGGCTCCATCTTCCAAACGATGTAGGCTGAATCCGTTAACCACGTTGTCGATTAGGAATAGTGTTTGAGGGGCGTCCACAGCAGCATGCCTGCTTTGGTAAATTGGTGAGTATATTTTGACTTGTCTGATGCCAATGCTCACATCATAGGTCCAGCCTTGTTGTACCGACGATAGTACCATCTGAGCCTTGAAGTGTATGTCTAAAAACATCATTGAACTCGTTGATAATGTGTATGCATGTGCACCTACATTTCGCCGTCATACATCCTGAATACTCACAGGTTTCTACTTGCCATTTGTTTGAATTGGACAGTGTGCGGGACTGTAGTGGACAGCTCAACACTGAAGATCGGTATCAATGGTCCTTTAGAGTCAAATGCCCATACTTGAACCCGTCTGTCATGGGTTCCACTTGCAATACGAGTTTCGTCCCCGGTGTGGTCATATGTAAGACACATGATCTCTTTACCTGTCCCAATTCGTCTTGATACTTTTGCGTGGAAGTCCTTCAAGTCTTCCCCTTGCTGTTGCCAGATGCTTATGAAACCCAGCCCTGTGCCATAGCATAGTGTCTCGCGCATTGCTTCTTGCTGAGTTATCCAGCATGCACAGGTCACCGGGTCTGCTGGATTTTGTATGGCTGGGGTTTGACATGGAGCTGGGAGCTGCACTCATCGTTTGAGGTCCCAGATCCTCATGCCATCTGAGCCTGTACTCGGGTGAGTGTGTAAATGTCATTCTGAATATTCCACTTACCCCCGCTTGCCAACATGTTTCCATTGCTCAAAACCACTAGGCAATTGATGGGATTCTTGTGTCTGATGAGGTGCCCTTCAAGCCGATATTCTTTGCAGCTGTTGGTGGATAGGAAAAGCATTGGTAGTTATAAATGCCAAGACTGAGTTGAACACCTTTATAAGGTGGTTTACAATAAGACAACAATGCCATTACCAGGCAACCCTGGGCGGGCGCTGGGTTCTGATCTAGGCCCAGATTGCCATCATCCATTAAATATCTTCCTGGCTCTGTTCAGTTCCAAAGTCAGTCATGCCTCAATTTTCTACTCCCGTCACCCCTTTCATGAATCTGAAGGTCCTCCCCAGGCCCTTCCATTACTGACATATCATACGGAGATGTTTTGTCATATGTTATCGCTCGTCTTGTTATCTCCACAAGAAGAGATAGTGTTCTCTGCCCTTCCACTAAGGGGACGCAGTCCTACTCCTTCCCGCATCTTCACGACCATGTTCCATGGAATCACACCCATCCCTCCTCCCATGCCTACTCCCAAAGTCATCAAATTAGTCTCCTTCTCGCCAGAACAGTTCACACAGAACAGCGAGTCCGAGAAGGTGTCAACATATTCCTCCTTGTCCTCCATAGATTCCAAGGACTCCAAAATCCCCAAACCAGAGGGTGAGGCTGGCCATCCTGGCTGTGGTGGGTACAACTTGGAAAAGGCACTTAACTGGGATGCTGAGCGCTTCAAAAATCTCAAAGTGGGATTGCACTTATCAATTTTTTTTCATCCTTACATAACATTAGGAATATGTTCACTGGTCTATCGAGAAGCATTGTCATGTTGGCAAAAGCAAGAAACTTCAAGCTCCAGCTGCTTTGCTTCAGGTTTACAAAGAGGTATGTCTGCGGTTGCTATGGCTGCTTGATATTAACTTCTTAAAAGGCTCTAGGCCATTTTCCAGAACTGGCTGATTATCATGGGAGTTGGCCAGTTGGGGATATGATTCAGATGCAGCTAAAAAATACTCCTGCCAAGGCGCGACACAAAGGTTCTCGTAAATTTCAATAGACCCCATCATTTCGGAAGGAGTTGGGAAGCAGTAGTCAAATGTATCAGAAGCAGTCATGATAAGAACTTATTGTCTGTTTTGTTCAGTTGGTTTTGCTTGTATGTACTTGGGAATGAATTAAGGTGACAACCAATGTTTTTGCACTCAGTTAGACAACCAGGTAAGTCGTCCTCAGATAAGTTGTGAATTGCAGAATAATTTCTTGTATCAAGATGTCTCATCTAATGTCCTTCTTCTCTTCGGACGATCCGGTCCCTGAAGCTATTGAGTCACACCCTCTCAACGAGCTTCCTCCAACCACAGCCCATACGTACCCACCTGCAAGTGGTACATTGGCTAGTGTAGATCATGATGACTGTCATCCCTCAGCAATGACTCACACGTACCTACCACAGCCAGTTATTTCCTCCAACAAGGAGTGTCTGATGGAGTTAGACAATCCTTGGCAGTCTGTCCATAGGGTGAGAGATGACAATGAGCAGCGGGTGAGGAATGTCCAATTCAGCTCCTTGTGTCAACTAACAAATAACAAATATTTAGCTGAATAAAGTCTTGCTCAAGGAAGTCGATCAGTTGTTCAAGCTGCGTGAAGATGTGCGTGAGCTACATTTTAGCAACCATAATCTTCTACTCTGGAAACGCAACACGCAGGTGCAAATAGTCTCACATCCCTCACGTTCACACTTAACTCATTTCAGGTCACCTCAAATGTTCGTGAATCAGATATGCAGTTGACCATTGTACAGTATCAGCAACAGAACCAATCTCTTCAGTGTGACAATGCTAATGCCCTCGCCTCCTTGGACCAGAACCATCGTAAAGAAGTAGCAGAGCTTCAGGTAAGATTCTTTCACTCCCATATCAGCATTCTGACTTGCATTAACAGAGCAATATGGCACTTGGTCTTCATAAAGCCCAAAACGAGGGCCACGCTGAAATAGAAAACTTATTGGTGGAGAAGGAGGTTCAATTTGAACACGAAATGCATTTAGCAAGAGATAGGTTTTTGGCCGACAATGAAGCTGAATTAACCCGCTTGGATGCCAAGTATAGTTCCAAGATTAATTTGTTGGATGTATGTATCGACACATTGGTATGTTTGGCATTGAGACGTCTTGCCGACTTCCTGTTGTCCTGTTGAGTACAGGGGCTTCGTCAATCAACATAGCGGATCCCATCCACTCAAGCTGAGAATGTCCATTTCAGTCACTGCTGGCCACAGCCTTGACATATTTACTTACAGCAGTATTCAATGTCACTTCCTCGTCGAAATATAAGGCAAGTGTCCTTGTTAGAGGTGTCGGTGCAATACTTTCATTGCTCAAAGTGTAGGGCTGAGCGTATGGATTGAAGTGCACCTTACGGGGTGCAGTCTTTTTGTTGCACAATGTGCATGGCATGAGTGAGTTGTGATTTAGTTAAGTTCCGACTTGTAATCTTTAAATCAGTAATTTTTGAATCAAGTCACAAACCCTAGTGGCACTAAGACCACCGTAACTTCACAATAACAGTCGATATTGCGTCTAGACTTCATCTTAGGCTGCATTCGGTATATTGTCTCCCAGTACCCATACTTGCTTCCATGAGTGCTGCTGTATCCTCTAGGAATATGAAAAAAAACAATGATTTCTCCACATCCAGAACTAAACAATAAGTTCCCTGTCCCTGGCGCAACAACTTTGCGCGACTTAAAGCAAGTAGAAAAACATCGTCAAGGTCATCTTCAATCATATTTCTCCTGCCTTTGCGATGGGAAACTCAACAAGTTGCATCTCCAGTCCAAAAAGTGCTTGTCGTGATGTGTGCCCCATATATATATTATCTCTATTCTTCGTGACTTACATTCTTCAATACAATTGCAGGACTTCATGTCAAAGACTGACTTCCGTGGCAGTCTAGGACCTTCGAAGGTGAGATTCTCCGTATCAAAATTGTGTTCGACTTAACTTCTACACACAGGACATCAATGCTCTAACACTTGAAAGCGATGCACCATCCCTGAAGCACAAAATCGATTTTGGTGACTTGGTCACCCCTCGAAAGCGATGTGTTCTAGAATCCTATTCTACAGGCGACATGTGTCAAGTTGTTGTGGTATATTCTGATATCACGGTATGTCTAATTTCAAATATCTTTATCAGTGTTAACAAAGTTATAGCCAAAAATAAGTCACCACCACACTGACTTAATCAGTCCGATGGTGAAGCGGTTGTTCAGGGAAGCAGTATGGAGTCACTGCTATATATAATTATCTTTACTGATTCCAGATTGTAGTCTGACATTTTTATGAAGTGTCAAGCGGATGTTCAACTAGGTCCCTTTGGGATCAAACATGTGACACTTTATGAGCCGTGCAACACCAAGACCTTCATATGGTCTCTACCTGTGGAAATCCTCATCACTACCGTCACACTTCTAGGAGCACAAGATCTGTGTTCTGTCACGCAAGTTTCTTCTCCGCTGTCCTTTGTCCAAAGAGACTTTCCAACTTCCCCGAAGAATCTATTTCACATTCGTGTGGACTTGCCAAATTTTGACGTCTTGTCAACTTGGAGACGAACGGATAATTTTTGTCCACTGTGCATGGTGCTGAGTTGGCTGGATTCTGATTTGCAATCCTCACAGATATCCACATTGTCGCACTTCCTCGAGTCCATCCCCCACAAGTTGATAAAATACATCACACTGTTTTGGAACTTCGACATTCTCACTTCTCCAGTTCTCTCTCAAATGGTTGCATTACTAGAAAATATCTGTCCTTCTGGCGTCGAAGAACTGACATGCATGGGTTTCTGTGATGGCACAGTCTCGCCGTCTATCACTGGCCTTACCCGAATCCAGGCGTGCATAGGTGCAAACAACCTGAAAGCCTTTGAGGCTTCTTCACGGGCGTTTTTTTCCCCAAAGATCGTTCCTTTCACAATCCAGACCATCCGTCTTTCCCCCTGTTTGGAAAAACTTCGACTGAGTTCTGTCAAGCTCAGTGCTGCACACTGGGACAAACTCATGCACCACTTCACAATCCCAACACTTGTCGAACTCCGAGTCGATGCTGATTGTGCGCCACCCACGCTCATTCATTTTCTAGTCCGTCAGCCTGCTGTCAGTAACCTCAGTGTCATTCCGCGACCTGCTGGTGTTCCCTGGAGGGCTAATCGAGTTACCAAACCTTTCATTCTTTCTCTGTCTACCCTGGACGGACCCTTGTCACATCTCCTTCCAATCCTTCAGAGTCATCGTAAACAACAAAACCTCACCTGCCTTCACATTTCCTTACAAGCTCATGATGCATCGCCTGACTACATCACTTCCATTTTACAGTGTGTTGGCCATTGTGACAGCATCGGATATCTCCTCCTTTCCCTACCTAATAGTCATTCTAGTGCAGTGATGATGTGTTGGTCAGGCACCCGTTCGATGGTCCGCATCAAACACTTAGTGATTGACTGCTCAGATGGTTCAGCCAGATGTGCTACAAGTGATTTGTTGGTATGTATTCTTGTTACAGCACTTTTTCAATACTAATCGTGAGCATAGGCACTATCTGCAGCTTGGATTCAAGCCCTTCCTCAAGTCAAGTGTGTTACTTTGCAAGGTTACTCGGCTACTGCTGCCGGGGATCTTGTCGACATTATGCGTAGCTTTGCTCCAGGCGATGTCGAACTGGCTGTGGATCTGCAGGTCTCACCAGGTGAGAACTCTTGTAATTTAATCATAATTTAATCATTTCCTCACACATGCAATGCAGTGGAACCACAGCACTGAAAAAAATAGCTTATATATTTGTATACATCACATAACACTTGATCTTTTGGCACTAGAATTTGTAGTACACTGTAACAGCGTTGAGCGGCAAATGCTGGCAGAGTTTGATATGTAGTCATTCAGTATTTAGGTGTGTCCTCATTTGGCGATCAACTTTTCTTTCTGATTTCGATGTACTGTACTGTCGTAACTTAGTTGTAGTAATTTATATCATGAGCAAAAATTAGCAGAAAAAGTCGTTCTTGTATTGATCATGAACAAAATACAAGTGTTCGCTCAAAGCAAATCTAAGTGCCAAGTAAGCCTGCATCCTCAGGAATTGTAATTTATGCTGATTTGGCACCTATGTCTCAAATATGTAGCTCCTTGTAATTTGGCATCGCCCATAACAACCCGAGATCCAGGCCTTATATGTTCCCCGACGCTTTATGCGTGTAACATTGCACTTTTTTGACCTTTGTTTTTTTATCTTTCTCCAAGGTCAGATTATCGACAGCAGCTAGTACATCATCTGAAATTTATTTAGATGCCTAGCCGCACATTTCTTTGTAGGTGTGCGCGATGCTGCAACGTTGGAGAAGACGGCTTGCCTGGGAATCCTGGTGGCAAAGAAGTACCCACCGCTATGAAAACCGCACATTTGCTCCAAGCTGCTAACTTTGCTCTATTGTCCGAGTGTAAAGCATCCTTGCTTCATCTCGCTCGCCAGCAGCTAGAGTCTGATGCTTTACAGGTCGACAATCTTGCTGCCGAGTTATTTGCTATCACATTAACCGACAATGACGTCAATCCAGACAGCCACAGCAAACTCTGGAATTCCTGTGCAGAAGTTCAGCAGGAGAAGGGACAAGCCTATCATTCTCTGGACAGTGCAGCTACATTCACGGTAGATGACACGCAGTGAGTATCGTATTTCGTCTGACCTTATATTCCCTAACTTGGTCGATTCCCAGACACATTGCCCAAGCTCTTCAGGCTGCTGAGAAGCGACACTGCTCAAAGGCTCAAGAAGCTTTGGATGTTGTAGAGTCACAGATGGATAGGGCTTGCAGCCAAATTTTCTCTGCGACTTCCCATGATGTTATGCAGACCATCCAAGATGAACTGGCTGTGATCACGATGGCCCTAAGAAACGTCAAGTACAAGGTCTCGTGCATCGTTTCTTGTAGAAGTCAGCTAGAGGGGTCGTGTAATGACATGCACAAACTCCTCTGTGACAAGGAAGATGCGCTTTCTGTGTCATCTGAGCCGATTGAATTTGATTTGTGTAAGTTCTATTCATCCTGCTTGTGCCCTTCGACTAAGATACATGAAGCACACCATTTTGACTTGCCAATCGACCTCTGTGATGAAGTTGCCCAGATATCCCTCTTCCTAGGGGCTGTATCTGTCGTCATTTTTGGCATCAGTCGCAGACACGGAGAGTTCTTCATGGGAGTCCTTGCCCTCATTTTGGGCCTTGCTATGGAGGCTCAGAACCCTCACTCTGAGTCCCACCGTCAAAACACACACTCTCAAATCCCACGCTCTATGGAAACCGCCCTATCGCACTTCAAGCTCAACAGCCAGACTACAGCTTACGCGGTCTGTCCAGCATGCAACTGTACTTATAGACCGACCACCAGCCTCAACTCAAGTCATGCCCAATATCCCATGAAGTGCTTCAACCGTCCGATACCAGAGGATGGTCCTTGTGATGAACCGCTGTTGCAGCCCTCTGCTGATGGAAAGTTAGAACCAATCAAAATATTCCTTTATCACCACTTTCACAACTACCTCGCTGGACTGCTGTCTCGTCCCGACCTTGAAGTGTTGATGGATAGGCCTTGCGATGATTTGCTGGTGTCTATTGGCAGCCCACCTCATATTATCAAGGATGTTTGGGATGCCAACTTCTTTCGCACTTTCAAAGGTCCTTCCAGGCAATCCCTATTTATCAATAGAGGCACTGAGGGTTGATACACTTTCACACTCAACATTTATTTTTTCAACATTGAAGGCAATCTCCAATGAAATGCCTCAACCTCTACTGGCATCATCTCATGTGCATGTCTGAACCTCCCCCTTGATATTCGGTATAAATCTGAGAGCATGTATTTAGCTGGCATCATTCCTGGACCTTCAGAACCTTCAGGCAATGAGCTGAATCACTTCCTCGATCCCGTGGTTGATGACATGGTAGAAAGTTGGGAGCGTGGCATACATTATTCCCGCACAGCTCTACATAGTCCCGGTCGAGTTATGCGCAGCATTATAGCATGTCTTGTGTGCGACCTCCCAGTGGCGAGAAAGGCCACCCAGCTGGTAGGTCCAACAAGTCACTTTTATTGCACGGCCTGCCATTGCTGACACAGGTCGAATTGTGGTAGAACAGACATCCAGACTGAAGATTGGGTTCTTAGGGACAAGAACGAAGTTCGTCGTTATGCTGAGCTCTGGAAGAACGCCGAAAATTTGATTGAGTGCAACAAATTGTTTTCATTGCACAGTGTGCGATGGTCAACACTCTGGAGGTTATCGTACTGGGATCCCTCTCATCAAATTGTGGTCGACACTATGCATTGCCTCCTGGAGGGTCTCGCACATGCTCATTTCCGTGAATTTCTAGGTCTCACAGCTGACTCCACCAATCGCAAGTCTGATGTTGTCCCTGCTTTCGAACATCCTTTCCTCGACGTTAATTCACACAAACCTCCAGAGTTCAATGAGAAAGACATCAGAGCCGTCCAGTCAATCCATAGCCTTCTTACAGAAGCAGTTCCTGACCTCGAGGGAAGTGACCCTGAGCTCATCGAGGATCACATTGTTGACTTAGAGAGAAGACTGTTAACGAAGAAGGTCGCATGTCTTCAGTTCGTATCTGTAGGTTTGGGCATCAAGCCAGAGGTCATGCACCCTGGAAAAAAATTCTACAAAATTCATTGGGTTAGATTGCTCCTTGCTTGGGTAGGCATTTCAATAGTGTTGTTCTCATACCCTCTTAATTGAGTGATCCCTTTGTAGCGTCGAACACGACCTTTCTCTCCTGGGTTGTCAAAATCACGCATTGTTACTCCAGAAGTTATGCGGCGTATTTCTGATGTCATCAAGATGACAGATACGCCATCTTTCTTGAGATCAGTCCCCTATAACTTTGGGGAAACAAAAGCTGGGACCATGAAGGCCAACAAATGGCGCATGTTAATGACTGTATACTTACCCATAGCATTAATCAGTTTATGGGGTGAGGGATCAGTACATCGCAACACAGACATCGCGGACAGCCATCGTGCCACCCTTGATCACACGATGGCCCTCATATCTGCTATTCATATCGCCTGTCTGCGCTCCATGACGACAGATTGCGCAGATGCATACCGTACATATATAGTCGAGTGGATAAGGGATTTGCAAGTAATCCACCCCCATACACACCATCGAACCAATGGTCATATGGCATTGCATGTCTGGGACTACCTGCAACTCTTTGGACCCATGCGGTCATGGTGGTGCTTCCCATATGAGCACCTCATCGGGCAGCTACAGCGGTTGCCCAGCAATCACATTTTCGGTAATATTTGAACTTGTTTGCCGATGATAAACTTCTTATGGTGTGCTGGTATGCAGGACAGCAAGAATCAACACTCCTCCAGTCATACATCAAGGCCGCAAAGCTCAAATACTGGCTGAACCGTCCCTCTTGTCCTCCTGTATTTAGAGAGGTCAAGTGGCTATTTGACAAATTTGTGTCTCCCTTGACCAATGCTAATCCAAGTGATGGATGTCAAGGTCACCTGATGGCCTCTACTATAAAAGAAGTTATTCCAGAAGACCTCTGCCAACTCATTCAACTTCGGCGGGCAGTCTTGCATGCTCGCACCTTCCACGAGGGATCTATCTATACTTGCGACTCCACTCATGTTGGTAACAGCCTCATTCTTTATTATCCTGACGGCCTTAGGAATGTGCAACCAATACCAGGGACCATTAAGTATATTTTTGAAACAGAGCGAGGAGTGTGTTTCGCCGTGCAGCATCACCTTCCATCAGATTCTCACTCTGATCCTTTTCTCCATTATCCTCACTTCCCAGCTCGTTTATTCTCGTCAGCGCTCACTCAACATCTCACAATTGTCATGCCTGAGTGGGTAGTGTCGCATTTCACAAGATGGAACTTTTCTGCACAGCATATCATTGTTGTATCTCTGAGTCAGGTGCATTCTCTCTATCTGACAATTGTGATGTCAACTCACGATTAATAGGATTGAATCATGCCAAAAAACAATATCCACTGCTATATAGCTTGACGCAAGGTGTCTGTCCACATACTACAGTGATAAAAAGAGCCATCAAGGCGACATACATGTCAGGAGAAGTGGGCGCTGAACTTTGTGGGCATTCACCTAGGTGTTTTGTTCTTGCTTTCTTTTTCTTGATTCAATACATACATAACACATAGTTTGCTCTGCATGGTATCTAACTTAAAAAGTTGTTTGTCACGTTTGAAGCGGGCGCTAAGCTTTTCTGATGCATACATTGTAGTTTCCATATCACTGCCTACCTGACTTGCTCTAACTTAATAGATCTACACATTTCAGATTTACGCCTTCGCACTACTGATATCTACCCGGACTGCCGCAGTGAGTAGCAGCTTGGTGAACAGTAAGTACTGTCAATTAATATGAAAAATCAATGTGCTAATTATACCACTTGCATCATTGTCTGGGAAAATCCGGACTGAGTTTCATTCCCTATATAAACTGTGTCATGTTGTTTCTTGTTCCTTTTTCTCTTTCTCATACAACACATACTGTAGGCGCACACAAACGCAGTCCGGTTTTTTGCCGTTCCCTATACCCATACCCATACCCACATATATACATAAGATAATGTTTTACTAGCATATACACTATACATACCTGTACATATTATTGTATCAAATATCATGAGTCTTGGTGACCTGCATCGCCCTACTACAGGTGATGGGATTGTCACCCCTGCTGCAGTAAATGCAGAAATAATTCCAGTGCAGTTTGCCATGCAGGGTTCGCAGCTTGCCTCCGCTACTGTCCAACAGGATAGTTCTGCAGCTGAAGGGAACATCACCCCTCCAACACTAGCACAGCCTGTCAGTGCTGGATTCACTAGCTACTCCTATCGTCGATACTCCTATCAAACAAGATAGTTCGACAAGACTACCCTTCACGACCCTTGCTTGATGCCGAGTTGATACCCTCAACTCCATGGGCAAGGAGATGCAAAACTATGTCATTGGCCCGATCCAGTAGAGAACTTCCTCAATGAGTTCCTGCCGAACCCTGAAGATTATGACACTTCGGACTTTGCTTCACGCTTCGCTTCAGCCTCCAATGCTGAAGTGTTCGACATGCAATCTATTAAGAAAGAGGAGGATTCTTACAATCGATTCGTGAGTAATTCCGCACTTATGATATTCAGATCCTTGACAGTTTTACTGCAGATTAACGGCATACGACCCTTCGCTCCCCAGTTATCATTTGTGAACAGTTCCAAACATGCAGACACCAATAACTGCTCATCATTCACATTCAACAGTCAAGCCGGATGTATATGTATACAGCGACGGAACATCACACGGCTGCAATATTTCCAAATTCGAAGTCAACATCGAATTCAAATGGAATAATATCCACGACGCATTCTGTAAAAATCCTGGAGTCGATCAGTCAGTTGTGTCACAAACCGATAAGGGCTTCGATACGTTGGGCCAAATAACCAGCTATGCTGTCGCTCAGCTTGGCACTCAATATCGTACCCATAGCATTCTCTGTCCTCATTATCCACAATCGTGCTCGCATCATCAGATGGGATAGGGAGGGAGCTATTGTCACCAACACCTTCAACTACTACCACTGAGTCACACCTGGCCTATTTCTTCTATCGTTTTGCACGGGCATCGCCTGCCCTGCATGGCATTGACACTTCTGTAACCCCTGCTAGCAACTGAAGATGCTGCCCTCACAAGGACGGTGTTAAAGCTCGCTACTACCACATGCATGTTGAAAGTTGCAGTCCCTCAGGATCCTGCCATTGAGGACTCTGACTGGTTGACGTTGATCATCCCCCAACCTGTTGCAAAATGTTTTCTGCTCATTGGCCGCTGGACTCGCACATGTCCTGTGTTTGATATATTCAACAACAGGGTTGTAATGTTCAAGGATTCTTGGCGCATGTCATTAAAGGATGTTCTACCGGAAGGTGAGACTCACAAATTATTGAAGTCGCACAATGTTCGTAATGTCACATCATGCATCGCATTTAATGATGTGATCCACACTACTCCTGAGCAAAACACCCAGGACTGTCAAGTTTGGGAGCGCCAAATGGGCTTGCCCCAACAAGGCTGTCACTCCCCACATTCTTCACCGCCTGGTTCTCGATCTTGTAGGCGAGCAATTGACTGATTTTGAGAGTTCTCGTGAACTCGTCCAGTCTGTTCGTGACGCATTACTTGGTACATATTTACTTTGCACATATTACCTAATGTCCATACTCATTATCCACGCAGCCCACCAGGATGCATCTAAAAATGCAAAAATATTACATCAAGATCTCAGCGTCAGAAATATCGTTATCTACCGAGGGAGGGGCTTTCTCATCTATTGGGACTTAGCAAAGTTACTTATCATTCAGGGTCCTTGACAAACCACCTGCACGGTATGTTCATTTTCTAAACTCATATATTGTATTGATTTTGCCATCACCAAGGGAACCTGGCAGTTCATGTCTGCTCACCTCATTAAAAATAATTTTGCTGTCCATGCTGTCGAGGATGACCTCGAATCTGGTCTGTACGTCGTTCTGTGGACAGCCTTGAAGTACAGGGAGAGCTACATGAGCGTCATTGACCGGATGCAATTCATTTTGCAGATCTTTGACGCTGATCTGCTGGTGGGGACCGGAGGATCCGTGAAATCAGGTTGGCTTGTCGCTAGAACCTACTTTCCGCATGATATATTCATCGGCTGCAAACCACTCGACAATCTCATCAGTTGAACTAGCCCAGTTCTTCTCACATTGGTACTCCTCAGTTTCCCCTGAGGCACAGGAGTCACTTGTGTGATTGTGGCTCTCATTGCAGGAAAGTTTTGGACGAAGCTGGGTCTGTGCGCATGGCTGCACAGCAAAAGATGATAGATGTCGTGCAACGCTGCCTGTTGGAGTCTTCTGCTTACCAGAAGGAGATAGGTATGCAGGTCCTGCACACACACAAGGTCATCATCGATATCTACGAGAAGCACCTTGGCTCATCCGGATGGCCTGACAAAGACGTGGCCGTACTGCAAAAAATGCATCCGACCAACAAGCAAAGCGGACATCGTTTATACATCAAGTCACTATGCACCTCACAAGATGTGATGTCCGCACAGGTGCAAGTCACACCATCTGGCAAGAAGCATAGGCTGGATCCTGAAGATGACGTTGAGATCCTCAGTTTGATAGCTGGCCTAGATGACCTTGTGTCCTTCAATCAATGATATTTTCTAGTACTTTGTGAGCCTGTATTCATCTTATGCTTACACTTACAATACATATTATCAACTTGCAGCTTGTCTGGTAGAACACCTATATGCTGACAGGATGGGTGAGTCAAGCAACCAGTGGATATTCCAGAAAAGAAGGTTTATGAATTGTGAACTGCTGCATGCCAGGAACTGGCAACTCATCTGGTAGAATGCCTGTATGCTGATGGGATGGGTCAGCCAAGCAAGTGGTGGATGGCATTCCAGAAAAGAAGGTTCATGAACTGCTGCCCACTAGGAACTGACAATTCATCTGGTAGAACACCTGTATGCTGATGAGATGGGCCAGCCAAGCAAGTGGTGGATGGCATTCCAGAAAAGAATGTTCGTGAACTGCTACCCGCCAGGAACTGACAACTCGTTTGGTAGAACACCTGTACGTTGATGGGACGGCCAAGCCAAGCAAGTGATGGATGGCATTCCAGAAAAAAAAGTTCGTAAATCATAAGGGGTAGTTAATGATATCTAATCATTGTATCGCTTCCGTTCTCCCTTCTCCTTCTCTGGCTTTTCCTCCTACATCCCTAGATGTGCTTAGGCAACTGCACGGGTAAACCCCCAGGTGTCAGCGCTCATACCCACACCCACACCCAGAGGAATACCCATACCCTCAAAGTGGGTCTGGGTTTTTGCGTGGGTGGACGGGTAAATGACCCGCACAGTAACCCGCAAAGGGTATACCTGCGGGTTGCTGCAAATTCAAACAGTTCATGTACAAAATGTAGCTACTCTAATTTAATGGCATCCCACCCAATCTCCAGCTCCTGCTCCTCCTCACCTTCAACATCTGCAAGTGCTGCAACAGACATGACATCCTCTGTCTTCACTAGATTGAGCTTGCTCTAATATCCGAGGCACAGGAGTGCGCGGGTTGACTGAGCTGATAATTGAGAGCGAACATGTGAAAGGAGGAGATGCCCGCGACTAAAAAGACGTTCAACATCCACGGAAGTAGCTACCATAGTCAAATAGTTAGCTCCTTAATATGAAATAAATGTAAAAACAAAACATACCAGGTATACTAAGATAATCTAACGCCATGCGAGAAAGGCATGGATAAACAATACGACATTCATACCACCAAGCAAGGGGGTCCTCAACATGCTCGATGTCAGTGCCCAGGTACCTGTCAAGTTCGTTTACAGAGTGACTTGTCGGGGGTGCAAGTGCAGGGATATTGTCGAAGATGTTGCCCTGTGGATGTAGATAGGTTGTGAGTCAGCGAGTGCATCAAGACAGACAATAAAACTCACCGAAGAAACTTCTGCTGCTATACCATCGTCTGCCTCAGAGTCTGCATGTAAGGCTGCCAACATCGAGTCAGAGTATGAGCGCTCAAATGTCTCCCATACAAGCAGTTTCAATCCAAGTGTCTTCCCACTTCGCACATCTGAAATATGTGAGTTTGTGACGTGGGTGTAGAACTAAAAGTAAGAGGTCAGACAAATGACATAGATTAAGAAAGAAACTCACCCATGGCAATATGGTACACTTCTGATGTATCTGTCAGTTGGTAATAGCGATTCAATGTCTTTTTGGCGAGTCCTACAGCTACACGAATCGATGGAAGGAATGAAGCATTCAAGGAGTAAGTGGTCAGTTTCTTGTCGATTAGGTCCATTGCTGGGATAACAGTTGCCAAGTTTGGGGTTGAACACGAGAAGAACAGTGTTGCGTCCTTGAGGATCTAGAGCAAAGTGTCATGTAAGTGTTACTAATTAAGTAATATACAGTGTCACATATGGTTACATATGTGCACACACCTTCAAGACATCCCGTAATTGCTCTGCAATTACCCATTCGTGGTCTGTTAACTCAAGTTGTTGCAAGCCCAGGTCTCGTCGCTGGGTCACGGCATCAATCGCCTCTCGATGCCTCAGTGCATACTCGACCATGTCAAATGTCGAGTTCCAGTGTGTGGAAACATCCCGTGGGAGTGTCATAACCCTCATCTTCAAAGCTTCAAGAATTTCATGCCAGGCTGGGAGGAGTTTAACTGTCGAATGTATGATCTTGAATCCAAGTTTGCGAAGCTAGGTACTATGTCAATTTTCAAGGTATGTTTCATGATCTGAACTCCCACCTTTGTGAGTACTAACTTGATGGGATGCACACTATTCCTAAGGTTTTCCTGCTCGATATCTGTCAACAAAGAAACTTCATTGACCAAGCCATCCACGTCATCTTCATCATCAGCTATCGACTCTTCTGTGTCCTTGTCATTTGTGGATGCCTTGAATTCACGGAGCAAGGACTTTGCTACAAGATTGATGGTGTGCAAAAGCACTGTGTGTGCGATGCTTTTCCGCCAAAGTCGGGGAGTGCGGTACTGATTTCGTCGATCATTACTGTGTTATTCAATGTGTTGTCGCATGTAACAGCCAGGATCTTCATTGCAGTAAGTCTCATTGAATACATTGTGTTGATTGGACTAACTTTTTCTATGATTCCAAAATCATCTAGTATCTGTTCAAACGCTCCCACTAATTCCTTGCTGGTATGCAACTAACATGCTCAATATCAATCAAGTCAGGCCAAAGTAGGTCATCCTTACTTTTGGTATCTCAACAATATCTAACAGCAGACTCAGTGGCACTCCTTTATGTTCGAGGTGCACAGATACAGCGACCAAAGCCTGATGGTTTGTCGAAGTCCATCCATCTGTTGTGAAGTTGACTTTACCTTCATGTTCCTGCCAGTGAGTATATTAGATTCATGCTGCGCTATGTTTAAATGATGACCGTGCATTTGTGATTTTAGCTATGCACTGTCTTGTCCTGGCAAAGACCAACCGAACGTCACACGACACTGTAGCAGCCAAAGGTAAGTAATATTCAGGTCTTCCGGTCTTCATAAGAGACTGAAATCCCCTGTCCCTGACAATTTAGAACGGTCGTAGACTTTTGGTGACCCAACGAATGATTTCAGCCCTTATCGTGGCTATCTCAGCTCTCAATCCAGTTAGGAAAGATGGCAGCGTACTTTGTCTCAGTCCGTGTATGTTGGCGATGTGAGTATGTCACTTTCCCCTTGCCTTTTCGCTCAAATGACGTTGTGATTGACCCACTCCGTAGGATGCTACCAGCTATCTTAGTCCAAACCTCCTGGGCATCTTTGGCTTGGTCTGCATATTGCAGAACCTCATCACCCCAGCACAATTTGACGTGCTTTTGCATGTTACCAGTAGACCTCACATCCTTTTTGTCGAGGAATCGTCGAATTGTAGTTTTGCATCCTCAAGCACAGCACTTGAACTGATGTGCGCGACATCCATTGTGCTCAATGATACGTGGTTTGGGCTCGAAGAATGCGTATACAGGTGAGCACCACTCCTTCATTAGTCGAGCTATCATCTGATTAACAAATTGTTTTAATTGAAGATCATATTGCGTACTGAGCTCATCTTCAGCAGTTTCAATGTCCAGACTTGGATTGCAAGTCTCATTGGCATCATCGTCACTCTCATCATCATTGACCATGATCACATCATTATGCAGATCAGCCTCTTCCTCTTCGGTACAAACCACTGCTCGATGTCCCTGTACTGGTGTAGCTGCGGGACTCGGAGTAGCCATGACATTGTCTTCCATGTCATCCTTTGTGCGACCATGGTTCAGGATACTTTTAGCCTTCTTAAACTGGCTCGGTGCCGCATTTTCCCCATTCATGTCTTTCTTCCGTTTCTTAGTCGAGGGGCCATCAAGCTTCTCTTCAAGGGCTGCCTTCGCCTTGTCTGTGAGTTTGGTGACTCATTTTGCTGTTTTTGCAAATATGTTTGGCTGCATGATGTCTATGACTCACGGCTAGAGGATAGTGATACTGATATGCTTGCTATTGATTTTTTAACAACTGTACAGTACGAGTAGCCGATTTCCTGTTTAGGTAGAGAAATATAGTGATTTTGACGTGTCAACCCAAGCCGCGGGTATGGGTGAGGGTGCCTGAAACATGGACCCCCACCCACACCCTTGGAACACCCATACCCACCACCCACATGGGTTTCTGAAGCCCGTGCAGTTGCCTAGATGTGCTCTAAACCCAGAAGATGTTCCATCTCGTCCAACTCCCGCCATAACCTGAGCAGTGCTTCGCGCCTATCCTCTACCATCAATGCTAGGAGGCATTTGTCGCAACGCGACATTTGGATGGGGGAGTGGACAGGACGTGGCGCGTGCGGATGGGCTTGCATGTGTTCCATATTGTCTTGTATGATTTCCTGTGCGTAGTCCCATAGCACCTAGAAACATCGTAATTTACTAACGGGGATGGGCAGCAATGGACTTACTATCGCGGATGGCATTACTGTGAATGTTTCTTGACTGGGTTGGTCCCATATGTTTCCAGCGTGCTCGATGTTCCCATTGTGATCCTCCAGATCTTGCTCCATGTTCCCAGTGTGCTCCTCTATACCTCCAGCGTGCTCCTCTATACCTCCAGTGTGCTCCTCCATACCTCCTCCCTGATCCTGCATGTCATTTCCAGCTTGTTCCTCCCCATGAAAAGTCTATTGTAGAATTAGTGTATTCACTCAGGCGGTAGTCTATCTTACATGGTAGTTTTCATTAATATCAACTTCCTGCAGACGATGCATCAGTCCCCGCTATTGGACTAGACAAACGTCAGACCTCAGTCGTGGATAATGGACTGGATTACTAAGTACCTAGACAAATGTCAGACTATAGTAGTAGTGTTAGTGTCTAGGTAGTATACGAAGAAATAAGAGACATACCCTCAGTCGTGGATAACAGACTGAGGGAAAAGGAAAAAAGTGAGATGAAACATATAAATAATGGTTCGAATTCCTATGAGATACTCCGCCAAGCCACGTCGCGTTGTCACGTGCGTGTTTCATGCGTCAACACTCCTCCTCAACGCGATGCGTGCTCCTCCTCGAGTTCTTCACCATAGTCCCAAATAGTTCCGCAAACGACAGTGATCTTTCTTCGCCAATGCTTTCGTGAATATGTCGGCAATGTTTTCGTGAGTCCGGACATAATGGACTTTGAGCTGACGACGGTTCACGTGTTCTCGAATTGAGTGATATGCGATGTCAATATGCTTGACCTTCGCATGGTAAGACGCGTCCTCGGTGAGGACTATCGCGCCGTTGTTGTCGCACATCAAGGGAGAAGTGGAACTTTGAGGAAAACCGAGTTCGTTCAACAGCATACAGATCCATGCAATCTCTTTTCCGGCCTCGGATGCAGCAATGTACTCGGCCTCGCATGTGGATAGTGAAATGGTCTTTTGTTGACATGCGCTCCAGGTAACGGTCCCGCTGCCCAGTGAGCATGAGTATCCACTGACAGAACGACGAGTGTCGACGCAGCTCGCGAGATCGCTATCTGTGTAAGCCAGTAGCCGTATGACATGTTCCCCGCCGAGCACGAGACAAAGGGAGCGTGATCCTTTGAGATAACGCACCACCCGTTTGGCAGCCTCCCAATGTACTGGACCGTATGAGTCCAGAAATTTACAGAGTTGTTGGACAGCGTAGGAGATGTTCGGCCGTGTACCAATAGCAAGGTACATCAGCAAACCGACAAGTGATCGGTAGGGTGTGCGCGACATGAGTTCCCATTCCATATCGTTACGGGGGGAATGGTCGTGGCAGGACAAGCATAAGCCTGGTTCCATAGGAACGGAGCAAGGTACAGCGTCCTGAAGCCCGAATTGTTTGACGATCCGGTCGATAAGAGCGGTCTGCGAGAGGGAAATGGTCCGAGCTGGGTGATCGCGAGTGATGGCTATGCCAAGGCAGAAGTGAGCGTCCCCAAGTTCAGCTACCTGCCACTTCATGTGAAGCTGAGTTTTGAAGTCAGCGAGAGCGGCCTTAGAACTACTAACAGTGAAGAAGTCGTCAACGTGAACAGTGATGAGGAGAATACCGGCGGAAGAGCGCCGGTAATAAATGCAGTGTTCACTCTTGAGATGTCGGAATCCCCATGAAATCATTGCCTCATTGAGGGTCTTGTTCCATATGAGGCCACCCTGTTTCATCCCATAGAGGCCTTTCTGAAGCTCCCATACGTGATCTTCGAAGCCGGGTGCGATGGAGCCTTCTGGCTGTTCCATATCACAAACTTCGTCCGAATCTAGCAGCCCATATAGGAAAGCGGTCTTTATATCTAATTGCTCGATTTCCCAATCGAGGGCCGCGCCGAGGTGAGCGAGAATACAGAAAGATTCGAGTCGTGCCATAGGAGCTGAAGCCTTGGTGTAGTCCTGACCCCAGACTGCTGAATAACCCCGGCATACGTAGCGTGCTTTGAAACGAGCCGCCGCACCAGTTTGGTCGCGTTTGAGCTTAAATACAGGTCGGCCTTTCATCAGCTTACGACCAGCAGGTATGGAGGAGCGAGGTACGAGTGTGTAGACACCCAAGTCCTGCAAGGAGTTGAACTCCTCCTGCAGGGTGACAGTCCATTCACAAGTGTGTGGGGACGCCATAGCATTGGCGTAAGTTGCTGGATCATCGGAGTGTTCATGGTCAAAGTCGTCAGGCACTGCAGCAAATACTTCAGTGAGGTGGGAAAGTTCGGCCTCTAGCTCCTCGATGTCAGAGCCAGTGGACTCGGCGCTAAAAACATGATCAGACACAGTATCAAGAGCGCGAAGGTGTTCTGCGGCTGCGAGAGAAGCTAGGGCTGCCCGTTGAGCTGCTGGGACGTATGGTAGGCCCTCAATAGTACAGCGTTTTTCAGATGGGACAGGCGCGCGTGAGGAATGGCGTGGAGGGGTGTCGACATCTGCATCAATAGCATCAGAGACAGAGGCACGATAGGGAGTGCCGGTGGGGGATGGGGCAGGAACATGTTCTAAGGGTGTGTGTTCTAAGGGTGTGTGTTCTAAGGGTGTGCTGTGATCATTAAAAGATTCTATAAACGAAATGTGGAAAGAGATAAAAACTTTGTTGGAGGCGCGGTGATAGCACCTATAAGCCTTAGAATCCTGAGAATAGCCAATGAGGATGCACTCAGTAGAGTGGTCGAAAACTTTGGGATTGTGTCGATTCTGGATAAGCACGAATGCGCGACAACCAATTTCACGCAGGTGAGAGAGGTCGGGATTCTCACCGAACCAGGCCTCATAGGGTGTATGACCAGATTGAGACTTGACTGGCGTACAGTTGGTCAGGTAGCCCGTGGTCAAGACAAATTCATCCCAACGATTAGCAGGCACATTGCACGAGGTACACATTGCGCGCGCCTTACCCATGAGAGTGCGGTGTAAATGTTCGACACGGCCGTTTTGAGCCGAAGTGTAAGGCGCAGTGAATTGATGTTGGGTGCCACGCGTGAGGAGCCACTCACGCATGCCGGCTGATTTGAGTTTGCCATTGTCAGAACGGAAGATACCAACCCTCAAACCTGTCTCAACTTCTCGCCCGCGTTCCCAGGCTTGTAGAGCCGGGAAGGCATCACTTTTCGAGGCGAGGGGGATAGACCATGAATATGACGAGAAGTCGTCAATAATGTCCATTATGTATCTATGTCCCGGGACGGAGACAGAATCCGGATGCTCCATTAAGTCGACGTGTACAATGCCAAGCTTACGATCTGAACACTTCCCCTCCCTAACCTTCGGTATGCTCGTTTTCGTCTGTTTGCCGAGAATACAAGCGTCACAAACGGAAGGAAGTAATGACAGGTTAATGGGCATACCGGTAGCAAGGCCAGAGCGGGCGAGGTCATAAACGGTACAGTAGTTGGTGTGGCCAAGGCATTTGTGCCAGGTTTCTAATGTTGGCGTGTGGCTCGCAAGATACGCATGGTCAGCGGATAATTGTCCCCCGGAAAGCGCGTAGAGGCGCTGTGAGGTCAGAGTGCCTGTGAGCATCTGCGTGCCACTGCGGGCCTGAACCCAACACGAGGTAGCATCGAAAGATGCGGTACATCTATGGGCAGTGCACATAGCCGAGACGGACAAAAGGCGAACGGTCACATGAGGAATGAACAAGACGTTGTTGAGTGTCAGGTGAATACCTTTCGCAATGATCAAATGTATTGTGCCAACACCAACAGCTTGGATGGACGAGTTGCTGATGCCGCTGACGACGCGAGGAGGAACAGGGCGCAGAGTGTAGAAGTCTGATTCAACATTACTGATATGAACGGACACGCTGCTGTCCAAGTAAAATGGAACGATGGAGGGGTCGACAGGGGTACGCGCGCGCTGATTAGGCGCCTTATAAGTTAGACCGGCGAAGTCGACATGTTGGGAATGAGTGCGCCAGTCAACGCTCGCTTGCAGGTCAATTGTGGCAAGGAGCGCATCATATACGTCTTCCGGGAGTTCCTCAATGAAGGCAGAGGTGGGGGCATCATATGCGAGCCCTGCAAACTCCTGTGTAGGGGTAGGAGGTCCTGGCACTGAAGGGGCAGGAGCAGTAGCGACAAATATGGCCTCATGTGTCTCAGCATCTAGAAGGTAAGCGCGGCCGTTCATGTCATACCGTGGACCACCTGGTTTACCGGTGGAGGCACTTTTCGTCGGACATGAGGAGGTTGTGGGTGTCCTGCCAGAATTGCTGCCAGCACGTGCAGCACAACGGCGTGCGATGACCTTGTCTTTCTTGCCTTCCATGGCGCCCCCCTTACCATAGCAGTCTTTGGCTGAATGCCACCAGCCCCCGCAGGTAGTGCAGCAATTGGTGTGGGAAGACTGACCACAGTCAGCGCAAGCTGTCTGGTTGGTTGGGTGACCACAGTTTGGTTTTCCTTTATTGGACACGACCATGGCGACATCCCCGGAACCCTTTCCCTTGTCGTTGTTGACGAGCTGTTGTTCCAGTTCAAGATGGGAGCGGATATGGGTGGGACCATATGGAGCAGATGGCAAGCTGATAGTGATGGCGTCGGCTATGTGGTTTCGTACGTGAGGGAGGTCCTCGCCCATGGCGTTGAGCATTAGGATAGTTAAGAAATCTTCCTCCTTAGGGATGCCAATGGCATATATGCGCCTGGCAAGGTCGGTGAGCTGAGTGCTAGTAAGCACGAAACGCTCAGAGCGTCGGTAGCGCAATGCGAAAGCCTGTTGGATGAGTAGTATCTGCGCGATAGGTCCTACTTGCTCATGACGGGACTTGAGAGCCCCCCATGCAATGTGTGCATTGACAAAGGGGAGTAAGAAGTCCTGATCTTCCGAGCAGGAGCGAGTGCTCAACGCTGCGACAATGCAGAGGTTGTTGAGGTCCCAAGTGCTAGCACCCTCGGGGTCCAAGGTTTCGTCCGGACGTGTCACAACACCAAGAAGGTAACCCCCCCCATGCTTAAGGAGCAGGTAGTTGCGCATTTTGGTGGACCATGTCCCCCAGTTATTCTGGCCTCGGTCGAGAAGTTCAATCTTCTCTAGGTCCGTATGACTTAATGTGATGGCTGCTATCTTAGAGTTCGTAGCGGACATGGTGGAAGTGGTAGTCACGGCTTGGGGCAGTGAAAGCGTAGGAGGAGTCGTGAACTTGGAAGTAGAGGGGGTGGATATGGCCGCTCTGGGGGTATTGCTATGGGTATTGGTACTGTTTGAACGCAGATGTTGCTTTACCATACTGGATGATGATAAGAAGGAAAGGAGCAAAGAGAAGAATGCGAGCAATCCCTGTTATTTAAGGGGTGCCCACGTCTATCAGCGAGGTACTTCTTGCTTGAAAGGGAAATATAACGATGTTTGATGACGTCGGTCAACGGATGATCGTTTCGATGACATCAATCTCTAACTCTACACGCCGGCGGCGTGAATGTGGTGATAGATGCCCTATTGGGGCGACGTTGCCTAGAAGATTTCTGCTCGCTCGTTTTACGAGTGAGCAGGGCTCATAACCTACTGGACTAGACAAACATCAGACCTCAGTCATGGATAACGGACTGGATTACTAAGTACCTAGACAAATGTCAGACTATAGTAGTAGTGTTAGTGTCTAGGTAGTATACGAAGAAATAAGAGACATACCCTCAGTCATGGATAATGGACTGAGGGAAAAGGAAACAAGCGAGATGAAACATATAAATAATGGTTCGAATTCCTATGAGATACTCCGCCAAGCCGTGTCGCGTTGTCACGTGCGTGTTTCACGCGCCAACACCCGCATGTCATCAGGCTACCGACAACTTACATCATTTGCGTTAAGCTCAGCCATTGTTGTTGATTGAAGTAGAATTAACATCTGAAGATGAACGTGTTCAATAATTAACGCGTTCAGTTTCAATGAACAGGTCTTCGAAGTCACGTGTCACATATATTCAAACATAAACTATTTATGAATGTGCGACTAATACCTGATGAATGCCCAGCGAGCGCCCAATGAATGCCCATTATATTCTCCCGCTGCTTAAACTTTGCATTTTCTCAATCTCATTTAAGCGTAGGGGAAATTCAAAATTTCCCGGAGTGGCCAAACGCCCGTTATTACATAATATTTTACGGAACATTTTTCTGCACCTCGAAATTTCGAATTTATCTTCCCACGAAATAGGATTGTAGAAGTTTATATTTTTCGGAAGGAAAAAATTTCGAGTATAAAATACACGTCAAATTGGTGTCGAAATAGGTTATTTGCTTTGTCATTTTTTCCGTCAGTCGAAATTTGCCATTATCCCAGTGATACAATTCAAAGTACGAATGCCTAACTTGACATTCTCATTTCAATTAAAATCTTACCCTAAGCAAAACTCAGAAACCGCCGGTGTGTCAGGCTGCTGACTCATGGTGCACCAAGGTCAAACACATAGGAAACCTTTCACCCACCCCACATTTTTCTTCATTTGTCACGAATGGCGTTGAAAAAGGGTTTGTTACTATCCGGGTCTGTAATAATGACTCGTTTTGATCACACCACGCAAAGATCACAAGGACTCAAATACAATAAATGTCCTTGACGATTTATCTCGCATCTACTCCGAGTCATCTATCTCACTAGATAGCTTGAATGAAAAGCTGGTAAGGCTCCGAACGTTCCATACGGGCCTTACCACTGCGACGTTCTGCCTTACGAGCGCGTTTCTCCTGGCGTCTCTCAGTCCTAGCCTCCCTCCTTGCGGCACGGCGTTGTCTTTTATCAAACTTGTGGGATGCAGACGACCCGAATCCATGCTTATTGCGACTCCTGTCATCCTCGGAATCTGATGAGGAAGACGAAGAAGAAGACGAGGAAGATGAAGAAGAAGACGAGGAAGACGAAGAAGAAGACGAGGAACTCGAGGCTCGGCGACGGAGGCCATTTGCCGTCCGGAGTTGGTTATAATCACCAAGCGGGGCCGCTCCCTCACGGCCGCTCAAGCGTTCTGACCCTTGGCAGAGAACGGCCTCCATTCTGCGAGGTCCGAAGAAGTACTGAAAAAAAGATGGTGAATAGTCTGATGGTGTTTCGCAGGACTTATACTGACTTGGTTCCAGTTATCAACGACGTCTCCTGCCGCATTGCGATTATTCGCTTTCATTCGTTTCTCGATGGCTCCAGTCATGAAGAACCCGCCTAGGAGTGCAGACATAGGATCATTTTCTACAATGGCTTGTTGCACTACGTACCAATAAGACTGGCGCCTGTTATAAGGGGTATGGCATTCGATTTGATGCGTTGTCCCGCAGATAACGAACCTGCTTTCTTGATGTCTGCCAGGAATCTAAAAACCTTTTAGATCAATCCAAATGGGACGGCCTGATGAAAAGTCTACGGACCGTTTCCAACCCTCCTCCGAGATATCATGCGTCACAAATGGGTGAACACATAGTTGGCATGGGGGAGCTACCTCAGGGAAGCCTTTGCTCAGGTCCGTTTGGTTTGAGATGAGACACAGGGGAGGGAACTGGTCGTAACGCAGATGCTGAGGCGGCTGACGTTGCCACATTGGCGGAGGACCCGTGCTACCAAAGAATGAAGCCATGGACAACCCTCTACTCTCGCCATTTGAGGAAGGTACGCGATCTTGTGGCACAGCGCCTGGAGTCTGATTGTATGGGCTAAGACTGTTGTTTGGCTGGTATACAGGGTAATTTGATGATCCTGCCCTGTTATGGTCATATGGATCCCTAGCTCCTGAGGAAGCCCCCTGGTATGCTGGGTATTCCCCGCCTTTTCGGTCGTAATGACCAGTTGCTGGTGGTGCCTGATCTCCCTGATATCCTGGAGGAAGGTGGGATACTGATCCCGGAGACCCCTGGTATGTTTGCGGCTGAGGGTTGTACTCTTGATACGTGCTATCACGCGGAGCATAAGATGCCTCCTGGGTGTATGCAGGAGGTGGGCCTAAAGGTACCTGGTATTGGTTCTGTTGCTGCTGAGGAGCCGGGACAGGGGGCTCCAGATAGGTTGCGTACGGATTGTTAGATTTTTCATCGGGATAGTGACTCATGGCAGAAATGATGTGGGGATGATTGCCGCATAGACCACTCGTGGTGATTTTATATGCACGATGGCTACGTTACATCGCCTATCATAGTAATTACATGATGGCCTTTCGAGGGCTGTACAAAAATAGCCTCGACTGCGGAACGAAGCGCACTCGGCAGGCTGTAGCGCCGTCACAGCATATGATCAATAGCGAGATTAACGATCCTATACAGAGTGTGCCAGCAGTACTACCTAGCACTGCCATTTCCGCAGCTCGGAGTGACACATGTGCGAAGCTTACACCACCACTAGTGCACTCTTTTCATCTTGCGGACTCGGATTACAATCTATGCCATCGCGTCCCACGGAAGTACTCGCGCATCTCACGGCCAATCACATCTTGGTTCTCCCCTTGATCCGAACATAGTTACAATGTTTCAGACACGCACTAATAACCTGAAGTAGAAATCCAAGTTTGATTCGCTCCAAAACTAAAGCAAAGGCGTAAAATCGAATCTGGCATATCGATTTGGAACTAGCTGGAAAATATCACTACAATCCGGTCAAACTTAGTAGTGATCCTCATCGTGAGGACAACATATTGCGATAAAGCAAGTAGGGCGTGGCGTGGCGTGACAGGTATGGTCGGAAGCGAGGTGGCAAATTCTGCTCCTATGGACGTAATCGACGTGGTATTGACGAAACGACGTTAAGCATGAGGGGAATGATATGCATGAGAGTAAGTAGCAAAAAAGTAGGAATATCGCGCGTGTACAAGTCTTCTATCACGATGAGTGAATTCGTGAAATGTGGATGATTTAGTAGATGTGATATGCAACAATAGATGTTGATGATAGATTGTTACATCTAGGACTGGCTAAGCTTGAAGATCCAATGGAAATAATAAAACACGTACCAAAGTGCTGATAGCTATGTCCTCCGCCAGGACCTCAAGAACCCAAGAAAAAGCGTAAAACCCAATTCAAAACTGATGTCAAATCCGTCACAAAGTTCAGTGAAAAAAGAATCATCACCTACGTCGACCGGCGACTATTCTTAAAACCTCGCCGACAGACGAGTTTTGTACATTGCCCCGATTTGGCGCATTCCCTGGCCGCAGCTGATAGGACGATATTCAGTAAGCAAATGTGCCCCTGATGATGTATGCGAGTGAAGACCGACGTCAAGTTTGTTATGGCCACCATTGGGCCCATGACCAGAGACTGGTCCACCCGCAACCGGTACTTCTGGCGCACGACCGCCACATGTTATCAACTCATTTTGATTGCCTGTTCCCCCATTTGGATCCATCCTAGAGCCAGAAGCATACACGGCATATGCTGAAGGCTGACGACGGCGCACAGTGATTTCCGGTTCAGACGCGGAATAGGCGTCTGCCTCGGTAAACCCCACACCGCCAGGAGGAAGCCTCCGGCCGCGTGTTTGGGTGTCGCTAAAGTCGCTTTGTTGACTTTCTGCAGAGACCTGGCGTTGCAGGCTCAGGCTCCAGAAACTACGTTTATTCGCTAGGCTAGGCGGAACGGGTGGTTCTCGCGCAGCCACCGATCGCAACTTCGGATGGGTCCTGACTTTCCTGGGGGGAGGGGGAGTGAGAGGGAAAGATTTTGTGACTTGTGCAGGCCACAAAGGCCAGATGGAGTTGGATGGAGATGTGATTGTAATTGATGAAGAAAGTGGTAAATATGGATCGCTTGATGTACCTTGAGTGGGAGGGAAGGGGTATTCATAGCGCTGTGTCCCAAAATCAAAGGGAGTCCCAGTAACCTGAAGCATCCCAGACGAATGTCAGGATCGTGCAGTTCCTCGAGAACACATATATTAATCGAGAACAACGAGAACAGGGTTTAGGTGATTATGACCGCCACTCCACTACACGTGTCTTGGATCAATAGAAACTTACCTCCCCGGAGGAGCTAGATGATAAACTGAATCCAGAGTCCGAGTGAGACGCCTCAGATGGAGAAACCTGGGGAGGAGGAGCTGGGGCATGTTCCTCGTGGACGATCTGGTCTGGAGAAGGAGGCAGCGAGGACGCCTCTTCCGCATATTGGTTCACCTGGGACTGCACTGAAGCTATCCGTGTGTCACTTAAGTGTGACATTCAGTAGTCCCTTGCAAATTTGAATGTCGAGTCTCGACAGAGGAAGAAGAAGACGGAGAACCCGTCTCAAAGCAAGTCAGCGGACCATTTACATTTCCTGCAAACGCTGGCGGAACGTGTGCGGGGAATGTGACGCTGTGCGTGGGCCACGATCTTGCCTTCATCCGTCACGTCACTCTCTAGAAATTTCCGGGTCACTCACTTCTTTGTCCAGACCTTCGTTGGCTGCAGCAAAGTTTCATCGTAAACGGCGTTACTACGAGTCCGACGTGCCACGTACAAGGGGGTCTGAACCATTATTTCAGAAAAAGGATATCAACAATTGCAGAAAAATATGTTGAATAGCCAAGTGAATGATAATTTGATACACGACAACCTGAACAGTATCTACTTTGGAGGTTTCGGGTGATTAACTACTTGTGACTCGGTGATGTCTTGAATTTCGTTACGTTTACAGAACGTGTATTCGGTTGCTAATACGTGGCTGACTAGGAGCATGATGTAAAAGCCAGCCTCTCCTGGAACCGCGGCTCAAAGCGATCAAGCTTGGATCGAGGGTGGCATTTATATCATTTCACAACAAACTATTACTGTCCTTACCTTGAAAACAAATCATGCCTGTACGTCGGGTCGACCCACCTCCGCAGCCTCCAGGTCTCTTCTTACGTTTCTGGCTTTTCTTCGTCAAACTCGCCCACTCATTCACAGGCATGTTCAAGTCAAAGGGACCTTCTACAACGCTGCCAACGCCAGTGACAGCGGGAAGTCAGCCTGCCCGTCTCAAACCGCCTGTTCCCAGACGACTCGAGCTAGTAGATCTCAAGCTATCTAACAGGCACACTCCTCAGCGAAGCTCCCAGAAAAAAGGGCTCTCAAGTCAGTCTCCGGCAATGCACACTATGGCAGAAGAAATCCATCAAGGCACCCTCTATCGTGATGGTATCGGTAATCAGAATGAAGACTTGCGAACCAAGAAACATGCAACCTCCTCGTTTCCCGGTTTCATCGCACGAACAGTTTCCCCTGGCTGTGTAGCTGAAGGTAGCACTCTTCGTACACCAACTTCGCTCCGCAGTTTTGCCCAGCCTTTAGATCGGGACTTGTGCAACAGCATCACGCCTGGCGTAGCTGAGATATGGAGTCCAACTTTGGTATCGAGCAGCCCTCTTCCGCCCCGAAGGCTCTCATCGCGTATCGCTTCCATCACAAATGGATCGGTTCTAGGCTCAAGCCCAGCGGGACCTCATTTAGCCAAAATACCTCGTTTAACTGGCACTCGTCTTCGTATCTCTTCGTCGGCGAGACTCACTCAAGTGAACGCATCTGAGTCGGTTCATAGCGTCAGCGCATCCCCGTTCGCAATTCGACGTGGGTTCTCAGGAGCATCTGTGGGGATACCTGACCCCTCGATCCGTCTTGAATCCCCTTGGAGCCCCTCGGACAAGACGCTACCTCATGATGTATGGATGAATTCAGAAGGTGTCCTAGCCAACGTTCGAGGCACTGTTTCCGTCTCATTCGATGCTACGAAATTTTTCCAAGACGATGTTGTAGCCCTCCAACACGAGCCTTACACGACGCTTCCGTGTGCTCCTTCTTCTCGGTTCTCGGACGACGGAGACGACTTTATATCCGTGTATTCAAATATCTTCGACCTCCCGGAAGAAGAGAAATATGAAGAAGGATCCAGCAAAGGTACATCTCAAGGTGACTCCTTCGATGTTAATGGTGCAGACAAGGGCTCTCCTCCCGGCGGAGCAGCAGGCGTTTTGGTTGCGACAACTCCTGTCGATGACTCCGCTGTTATCAAGTATGATGCTGCCCGGAATTCTACTGAGGATGCTGAGGTCGAGGACTTGGACAAGTGTGACACATCATCAGAGCTTGAAGGAGGTTTCTTCTATGTCATCTCCCAGTCAAAGCTTGATCTGACCTCGGATGACCACACGTCTGGTCTCGCCTACATGCCTTCCTCGAAGCACCGAGAAGCACATTCAGCCTGCGTTGCGTCTGAGCCTATTGACCACCCCGATCGCGCCACCAAACGTTTCTCAGTTCCATGTCTCCATTCCATCCGGGAATTTGATCAGAGCTCACTTCGCGCATCAACATCAGATTCTTCCCCTTCGAAACATTTCACTGCCGCAGAAAGCAGGAGCTTGAGAGCACTCGCTGACATTATATCTCTACTGGATTTTACTGCGATGGAGGCTGCGGAGACTACTGGCGTTCCTGAGATCTGTGGGTAAATCTTACTTGGTACGGGCCGATTGATGACACCTGTTCTACTGTATGATTCCATTCTTTTTACTCTATTCGACTCGATTATTCTGAATTCTGAAACGTTGTGGGCGAGAGCTTTTTCATAAAACCTGGTCAAGTTAACATCTGACCAATCTAGAAGCTTTTAGCTGCGCCGGCGCCTCCTTTTCCTTCAGACATGCATCGAGTTCTGTGAAAAGGTGCTGCGTATAAAAACAATTTATAGCTCGCGACTGGACGTTTAATGTGACAATCATCGTCTGGCTTGAATCAAGTCCGTAGTTGATGCAGGGACTTGCATACACTAAATGATAATCTTATAGGCGCAATGAGATAACACCCAAAAAGGAATTCTGAACTCCGACATACTAGTGGAGCATTACGTTTGATTTGGATTTCTGGAAGGCTGCGGCAGTCTTTCCTTCATCCCACCTCAAAACATGTTCTCCTCTTTATTTTCGTGAGTTGGATGTTTAGTCTGTGATTTTAGTCTAAGGGATTTCGTAGAACTGCACCCCCTGTCGATCCGAAGGCCCAGAACTTATTCCCTGTCTCGGAAAGTTCAGATCTCCTCGGGGGGCTGGAGGCGAAGGATCTTGAGTGGACATGTGCAGGAGGCTTTACAGCAGAGACTCAGATTTTTTATCAGTTCTTACAGGATGGAACGATGTTGATGTGTCAAGTGATTCACTCGTCAATCGGGTGAGCTTTTGTTCGTTTGCGCTTGTTCGATTTGACTGATTATTCGGCAGTTTGTGGTATCCTACTATTCAGTTCACATGCAAGATCTATAACCCCACGACGAAAGAAACGATTTGGCGTTCTGTCAATGTTACAAACTTTACAACCGCTCCACCTGGTCTCGACAAGAGATCTAGCAAGGCAGATCAATTCTCCATCACCCACAAGCCTTCCTCGGATGATTCACATGCTGAAATGTACACCATTCGCGCAAACCTCTCAGACAACTTGCAGATATCACTCGATGTCTCACGTCCCTCTGCTGTACCCGGGTTCAAGATTGGCAAGGGGCCAAAAGGGGGATACTCGTACTTTGGGTCAGATCAACAGAAACCAGATGGCTACGTCGTCCATCGCTTCTGGCCTCGTACTAAAGCCAGCGGTCACATCATCCACAATGGCCGTGCAATCGTTGCTGAGGGCCACGGCATGCTCGTTCATGCTATCCAAGGCATGCGTCCCGACTTACTTGCATCGCGATGGAATTTCGCGCACTTCCAAAGCGACGCCCATGACGGTGTATCTGCAATCCAAATGGAATTCAAAACTTTGGACACTCATGGTCGCCATGGACCTGGCTCTGGCGGAGTCGTAGTCAACGTTGGTTCATTAGTGCTTGGTGGGAAGCTAGCTGCGGTCACAGCAGAGACTAAATGGGCAGGCGAAGGACAGTCTATGAAAGCTGTGATGTCGCGTGCCCATCACCTCAACCCTGTCCATGATCCGGATACTGGCTACATGCAGCCTACTGCGGTTGAGTTCCGATGGGCAGGCCCATCCCTGCTGCCTGGTGTGGATGGTTCTGTCAATGCATCTGTGCATCTTGATGTCGGCAGTCCATCTTCACCTAAGGGTTTAATTGAGAAGGTGGACTTCCTTGCAGAGATCCCGTATGTGATCAAGACAATGGTCAGTTACGTTGCAGGCACAAAGCCATATATTTATCAGGTAATTGGGAGGTGTTGTATTCAACTTATCCGGTAGCTAACAGCGATCTGATAGTGGCAAGACAAGGCCAAGCTTGTTGTGCGTGGTCCAGATGCAATTATTCCCGGGCTTTCCGAAGGATTAGATGTAGAAGGGTTGCTATACACAGAAGCCTCGTTCATATCTTAGATGCCTATTCATCTTCACATCTACATTTTCCCCTGCGTGTAAGTATACTGTTGCTTTAATGTAATCTCGTGGAATGCTCGGCATTCTTTTTACTTCTGAGGGTGGGAGCCGTATGATTAGCTTCCTAGGCGAATGTAAATCACAGAGTAGATGCTCTTTCTTCTGAACGGCTGACAAAAGAGCAAGAGAAGTGTATGGGTTGGCTGAGAGGCGGTGATAGTCAGAAATAAACGAGGCAGTATAAGAATTTCACACACATGGCTATACCGGCGGTAAATTCTTTCTTCACATCGATTTCTTCACCCAAGATGTCCTTCGACTTCACAATGCGAAATGTCGCGAGAATATTCACAATGGCGATCCAGATCACCGCCTCCGCTGTGAATCTCCCTGGGCCTGTTGTCAATCTTATGAGCTACCTGATTGAAGCCTCGATCATGATGAGGATTGCATACATATACGACGACCGAGCCCAAAAATTGGGTCAGCGGAGATGGGCTGGAGGTTCGAGTTGTTTTCAGCTGTGAGGTGCCGTTCAGGCCTAAAGTCTTCAACATCGGCCCCGTGTTTTGATTCATCTCTGCTCATTGCCCTTCACGAATAATATCAGCCAGTATTACAAATATGCGAGTTCCGCGTACAAACCAAACGTTGTTTATCACCAATGCGCCTGTAATATTTATTTTAGTCAGTTCTGAGTACTTGATAAATTCGTCCTCACCCTTGGGAATGAAGCAATCATCATAAACATCGTCCTTTGAAGTAGCATGGGGTATGCCTGTCCCTACGTTAGCAACAAGAAACCCGAGTATGATAAAGGCGACTAACCCAGAGGAACCACAGGAATCCATCTCAGCAGCTCTCGAAGGATCGCATCGACGTACGGTAGCAGCGGTCGGTCGTCGAATTCTGGCAATCTGCTAGTTACCCCTATGACAGAATCAATCTCTGCCTGACCCTTCGCCTGCACCTCTGGATAGAGAATCATGGCGAGAATGAATGTATGCAGCATCGATGAGCTCTTTTATCTACTTGTCAATAATAGCACTCCCAGCAAGGGGAAAAAACATCTACCGACTCAAAGCCAGCTGCGATGATATTCACAGAATATTGAGTATACTTATGCCCAGGACACGGGTCATAGATGAAAAGTTACCTATAAAGGCAGTAGCTGCCGCCGCTTTTATAGCGGCTTCTTGTTTATGTTGGTCTTCCTTCTCGTCGATTTGAGCTAAGCAATCAGATACCATGGAATGAGTGGCCAACCCGGCATCCTAGTGTGTGCACTTTAATCATCGAGTAGCACTCGGATTGTTAAGGACATACAATATTCTTCTTGACCAGATTGAACGGCACATTGAGCACTTGTCCTGCTAATTCTCTCGCACGAGCAGCGTCACGTTGAGATCCTAGACCAGGGAGCCACGCAGGCAGGCGAGCGACTAACGTGAATGAGCGGCATTCTGGAACAGGCTTTTTTTGCTTACGTATTGGAAAAACGGACACGATGGCGCTACGCTCAGGGGAGAGTGCCTTTGCGAGTATATCGACAAGTTCTTTGACATTGGCAACTATTGGATCGTTGCGCGGAGCTACATCGTACCCGTAGGTAAACGCCATAACGTTCGAGGCAATGAATCTAGATTATTATATATTAAATTTCTTCGCGATTGCAATGTGATTTACCTCTGGATATGGATTTCGAAATGTGATGGATCATCAAGCAGATCCTTCAGCAATGCTCGAACTCTTTTCGTGTGGATGTGATGATAGCGTGATGCACTCTCCAAGCGAAGTGCATGGTGAAACATCTTGCGGTGAAGTCTCCAGTCAGTGCCGTGGTAAGGCAGCATGACGGTACTAAAATCGAGGCCAAAACTGGATTATGATGAACGTTAAATGGTGGTCAAAATATAGACCAAAGCATACAGCTCGTTTGTTGCGATAAAGGGGCGATCAGAATATATGGCGGAACGTTGATCCATGAGTGCTCTTGCAACCTTTTCCGAATTGACCACGATAAAGTCAAGTCCAAGGAGGCGAAAATAGATCAGATCGCCTGTATTGGGGTGAGCACGTCCCATTTACTAGAATGTACCCGCTGCACACCATATTTTTTCCTCCAGTGTGTATATGTTAGCCATGGTCGAGCAATATTCAATTGGAGGAAGTTGCCCATGATGGGAAGCGGTTTCGGACCTGGGGGGAGTGGTAGTCTAGCCATTCTCTCAAACCTTGGAATAACCAAGGCAATAAGAACGCAAGCTACTAACACCCAGACAACGATATTGATGAGACTGTTCATGTTTGTGGGGGAAGTGACGCGAGTGGCGTATGCAATTTATACGTATCTTGGAGACCCTTCGGTACCGTGGAGAATTATGGTCAGCAGCAAATCTTTCTTTTCAGTGTTGAGTAATTAACTCAAGGCATAAATATTCACTCGGTGTAATGGGACGGACTGCAAGGGGAACCAAGGCCAGACCTCTATAGCGGGAGGCTACGGCTCTATCTATCGAGGACACGCGCTTGCCGAGTACGAGCCGGGACACCTGCTACTGCGCTCGGACCTGCCTCTGATGGGACGCCCCGCTCCGTCGGATATGTTTAGTCCTGCAGCTGAAGTCGAGGAATAGATCAACGATTTGATGCGTGGTTCAAGGGGTCAACATCATTTTCGTGCCGATTGCCACGGTAGGCGGATTGAGCGACATGGATTGGTTTATAAAAGACTGGTGTATTGAGCAGAGAGATTTCCCCACAAGTACTCTGGGGGTGAATAGTAAACACATCAGTGCCTCTTGATATTATTAGAATAACACTACCCCCGGAAATCATCACCTCTTGGAAAACCCACTCAATAGTCAACGCAACATATCGTTTGATTGAGGGATTGCATTAGATTCCATGTCATGTCAGCTGCCGCATCTGAAACCTGAGTCTAGTGTCCGTTTGATGGTTCGATCATTTGTTGATAGGTGACGGCACTGGCCGGTCAGTCGGTATCAAGGCCAATAAGAATGTCCAAACCCACCATTGCTGACCTCGTAAATGATCCGCGCTTCAAGACTTGGCCCAAGCAGATCGCACACAATCACCGCGGCCCGTTGTAGCCAGACGATTCCTCTGTTTTCCACAGCCACCCGAAGCCAGTAGCAGCACCTATGTATCCTCATCGAACCACAACGGCGGTACAGAATTCTATACAAGTGAGTCGAATGAGTCATGAGCTACCTGTGTTTTTGTGAAATGAAAAACAGGACGCACTCTTTCCCATATCGTCGCTAAAACCTCGCCAGAAATGCCCAATGTTTTATGCGAGATCACGCCAAGTCAATGGCACGAGAAATTCCTCGGACGGATGTTTAACTCGTTTCAAAAGTAAGCCAAGATATCTTACAGAGATTAGTCCTAGGTAACGCGTTTTCACGATTACCCCGCGGAATTCGGCAATTTCATCATACACCCCTGGTGAGTAATAAACAAAAAAGTCTGAATCGAAACGGGGAAATAAGCAGAAGCGGTCACATCGGGAGCAAGATCCTGAAGATTGTGAACCAAGTACTCACGGATCCGAAGAACTCCGATCCCTTCCCCTTGATATCCCGACAAGGGATTTGACTGCTTGAACCTGGATCGGTGATGTAGATGATCTGAAATAGATGATCGATAGTTTGCTCCGGCGTCGGATAGAGTGTCATAGCGGAGGAGAAAGACGGTGATGTAGGCGCGCTCCGAGAGGAACTCCAATCGATATCTCCACAACCTTCCACAGCTTCCACTCTTTGCTATAAGGAGCGCTGTCATGTGCACTTGTAATGGTGTCATAGCTATCACGTAAAATGGGACACGAGGAGCCTCGGGTATTACGGTTTGGGGGTTGGCGTAGGTTGGCGTTCATCGAAAGCTACTTTCAGGAACGTGACGCTGAAACGTCTTTGAGTTGTACGAAGTACAAAATATATTGCCCGTCACCGCGAGATGGTCAACACAAGCGGATTCGACAAAGACATAAAGAAGTTACATAGTCAGTATTCCCTGCCTCACTTTCCTGACTGGTCCGTAGAAGTATGCCAACATGCCACAGAAGGATATTCTGCAAGGAAATGGTACAAGATCCGGCAACCATCAAGAGATGCGTCAAAGTAACGACCACTCAGCGATAGTACACGCCAGTGCTTCCGAACAGCTGAAATTCGAATTCGTGCTGCAAAAGCGGAGGTGGGCCCCGAAAGTCAATTGGGTCACGAGGCTCCAGCTGGCAATTGGCACCCTTTGAGTCTTAACACCAGACTGGCAGAGACTTCAAATTTTAGATGCGAGTATATATATTGAACCTACTGCAGGGATATCCACAGCACGTATGATTTGATTGAATAAAGCTGGCAGACCCCAGTCACATCAATAGCAAAGGCCCTGGCCGATCGGTGATGATCAGCAGCGCGGTCACCAACATTAATATCGGTCACTGGCCATGGCAAACAACCCGCAAAGCTAATAATAGCCCAATATGATTAAAGTCGCGTGCGAGGGATGATTTATGAAGACCTCTTGCAAGGTGCTGGCTGACTTTTCGACTTGAGTGACAGGAGTCGGTGAAAGCGGCTGAAAGCGGGAACGATATGGCACAGCCAAGCCCAACCGATGGGCACAGCCACACATACCGTCATGACTTCGGTAGCGGCACCGCAGCTTCAAGGCTATCAAATCCTATAACTTGATCAAGGAAATACACTGGTTCGACAGAACCATGTACAATGTTTCGCCCAGTCACGCCCAGAGCTCCTTCAATTTCCTCGATATCCTGGCACTTCCCTTCAGCTGGCGCTCGAGCAGCAAGAGTACTAATCACAGCACGTTCAAGTTCATATCATGTATTCCATCCCACGCCAAAATTCAGCGGTCTTGTCCATGTTCAAGTTAACGATTGTATGAGGAGGCAAATATGGCATGCACAGAGAGGAATTGCACCATTTCATTCTTCCGGGCCAAACCAGGGA